GTAATATTTGTAGAAAAAAATAAATGTCCAAGAATTTTATGTCCTAATTTTCTTGTGAGCAAGCAAGATTTTAAATCTCATCTACACTCTCCTTGAACCTCCTAGTCTAGCTTTTTTTCCACATTAATTCTGGTATTTAGGTCTTAACTCAGTACCTTAAAAAATATAACTTGAGCTTCAAGGAAAATAAAAATGTGATCCACATTGGCTGTTTGCCTGTTGTTATCCTGTGAAAAGAAACAGTTCATGTTTCAGCTTCCCCAGGGCTAAGTCACCAAAAGCTGGCTGAAAGTACAGCTTGTGCCTATGGCCTAACAGCACCTCACAGGATGTTATAGATAATGCCATTTCTTTTATACCTAAGGGAGTTAAGAACAGGAAGATATAACAAACTTCTCTGCATCAGGCACTGAGACAGAGCAGAACCCAAATCAAAGCTCAGGATGACTCTGTGACCTGGCTGCTGTGGTATGCAGTAGTTCCAAGGTGTTCCCACTGGGGCAGCCTTTCTCCCAGCCAGGGTAGCCACAAACACCAAGAGCTCTCCTGGCACACAAGGCAAAAGAACTCGTGCATCACCAGAGCCCTGCATCTCACTGCAGGCATTTTCATCAATTGAAGGCAGAAGTAAACACCTCACTAAAAATAAACAGAACTCAGCATAAAAGTCTGAGAAGGAAAGGCATTTTTGAACAGCAGATACACCAGCACAGCACTGGGATGCATCTGCAAGGGGGGAAGGAAGGGCTAATGGCATTACAGCCATGACACACCACTACTATTCATGGCAAATATTTTCTCTAGTGAAATGTAGCACATTATAAACCACCCATGACCACTCAGCTGGTTGGAACATTTGGCTGCTTATATATTCTAACTGTGCTGGAGGAGACAGCTGAACTAGCAGCTCAGGGCCAGGAATTACCCCCAGGTCAAACTCATTTACATAAATGACATTTTCCTACACTTCTGGAAATAAATGGTCCTGAAAATTCACAGATGCTTAGTACTCTGCTAAAAACTGCATCAGGCATTTGAATTCCTGCATTTCTTGCGGTCCAAGGTTTGAAGAGGACAGCAAGCTCTCCCAGAGCAAGCTACATTTTCACCAGGGTGCCCTTCCCCTGCATTTTAGCTTGATCCACCCATGCCCTGACCCAGGAGTGCTGTACATCCAAAACAGGTATGCTCCCCAGCAGCCAGGGCAGCAAGCATGACTATCCATGAGCCTTCCCTTAAGGGCATGAGCAACATGCTCCACCAAGTGTCCAACCTGCAGCTTTCAGTGTTCTGGGCTGTGCTGGAGCTCCTCTCCAGCAGGCTCAGGTGTGGTGCTTCCTGCAGACCAGACGTGAGCAGCACACACAGGCAGTGGCAGAGGGAGCAGAGCAGTAACTCAGGTGTGCCTCGAGCTCAGAATGTGACCTTGTCCTCAATGGACACTCGTTACTCCCACAAGCAAACACCTCCACACCACTTACCCAGGCTGCAGGGTCAGTGACAGGGATAGCAGAGAAACCAGGAGAATGTGGCTTTTTGTTCAATTTTACCATTCTTCTCTTGTAGTCCCTTACATTGCACACAAAGCTCTGTGTGTGTATATATTTCCATAATAATATAAGGATGAATTTCAAGGAACACATATTCGTGGTGCATATTCCAAACGCCATCCCTGCAGCTCTCAGATAGCAACCCCAGGATAATTTTCCTATATAAGGATCGTTTTTATTTTAAGGCTGAAGTGACATTTCCTTTTTATTGTTTATTGAAATACAATGAATGGGATGACTTTCTATGTATGAATAAAATTACTAGTGATATAGGGCAGGAAATATATACAGGTACAAACTCTGGGTTTATTTGTAAGAAAGATCTTCAGAAAAACCTGCAGTCATTTTGCACATCTGATCATTCATTTTGTTCTTAGTGACAAGAGGTACCTCCCTGCATCTCTTCCCCTAGATCCTCAGCTCGCTTGGATATTTTGCTTTTCAAAGATCAACAGATTTAGACAGATACTTGACAACTTTAAATCTCACAATATTGAAATCTGTGCAAGATAATCCACAAATCTGTACATCTCTGTAACACAAATCTGTACATCTCTGCTCTCAAAGTAGATTTTCTTTTCACACGTGTATCCAGAGCTCCAGACCAAGCCAGCACAGCTGAGGTTTACTGTAGAGAAGAAGAGCCAAGCAGACTCAAGTTTAGTTCACATACAACCATTTTTAATTTAGCTTATACATACAAAGTCTCTGGGACTGGACAGAATACTCCACAAAATTAAGCATTGGATCCACAACACAAAACCTAAGGTTACTAATGTCATCATTTTTTTCTCAGACATGTGTTTTATCATATGGCATGCTATTGATTTATGCCTATTTTAAAAAAACTAAAACACGTGTTTGTGAAGCCCTGAGTATTAGCTAAAGATGCTGTTCCACATAACACTTCATGATCTCATGGATGAACAGGAGATCCTTAAAAACCAACTCTCTGCTGTGATGAAAACCAGCTCTGGCAGTGCAAAAACAACACTCACAAATATCCTTAAATAGCCATCAAGCACAGAAACCTTGCTGCTTGTGAATTGCATTATTTCCATATTTGTACCATAATCCTACTGTCAGTGCAATGTTTAGCCTTTATGCTACACCGTTTTAAACAGTGGTTAAAAATAAAAAAGATACCATCAAAAATACAATAAATCTGCATTTTTTTTGACCATCTCCATTTGTGTCATTTACACAGGTCTTAAACAGGAAAAGACCCCAAATAGATCACTTTCACAGCAAGAAGAGGGGATCCTTAGAGTTTTTGCATTCTGTGACACAATAACAGCACAACTCACATCTGCAGTTTTGCATTTGGTATCTATCACAAAACATACCTTTATCATTCACATCTGAAAAAAATTCAGAGGGAGGCAAACCTTTCACAGAAGCTTTGAGGCAGCCATTGATCACTCATCCTCTTTTGTCCCCTAAGGGGATAAGGGCAAAGAAGGGAGCCTGTTCTTTCAGTGAACACAAGCTGTAATCTACACACCACATCCAGAGCTTGATAAGCAGATCTGGACAGAGCCTGGTTTTCCCCACTGAAGATCAGAAGCAAGCCAAGTTTTTATTGTACACATGGAAGACTCTTAGCCATGTGGGAAAAATGGAATATGGAACAGTCAATTACCTGAAAATGTAGCTACTTGCCTGAAATCGTGACACATCCATGTTCCACCCTGATGAGCAGCAGAATTCACACCTCCAGGGGCTGCTCTGTGTACTGTCCCACCAGCTGATCCAAGAAGGTCTTTTCCATATGCTTTGAATAATTAAACCTATACCAAAGCAAGGACCTCAATTGTACATCAGGGCCATACAAGCAATCAGCTGGCTTCCTGCTATTTTCATCCCAGTTCCTTGCTTTTTGGAAGGACAGTGTCACCATGAGATATAGCTGAGAGAAGCTGACAGTAGGAAAGCCAGTTGTGTGCTGTCAGTGTAGTGCAGGCAGAGACTTTGCCTAACCAGACTTGAAAACTGCTCATCTGTGTTCCAGGTGAGTGTGACAAATATCAGAGGACCTGGACACCAGGATTTAGTCTTCATCAGGCTAAAGAAGGAATGCAGATGCCCACTTCTGCACTACTGGTTAGTCTTCTTGGAGACTGAAGCCAATTTTCTTCTATTATCAAAGTTTTGCAAAATATTCCTCTAAAACATAAAGGATATTTGTTATATTCTCTACTGCAGAAAAAGCAGTATGAGGCTTATTGCAGAGGAGAACAAAGGTGCACAGAGATGCTCAAAAATCAATTTTATAAAAAACTCTCATATCAGAGGATGACAACTACCAAACATATCCTTAGTGAGATAACAATTCAGCACTCAGTGAAAACTTAGCTTCATTAGTCAGTCAGAACCAAGCAATATATAGAATATTCTGAGTTAGAACAGACCCACAAGGATCAATGAGTCCAACACCTGATTTCACACAGGGCAACCTAAAAACATGTATCTAAGAGTGTATGTAGGCCATTTAGCTATGTAGCTTCTTGCTTGGCATCAATCCTTGGCAGCAAGGATTTGTTTGGGAGCTTACTTAAAAATAACAAGTCAAACTATAGATATACTACAAAAAAATCACTCCTGATTGTGGCTTATGCAATTGCTCACCTTGACCCTGCATTCCAATGATTATACTTCTACCTTTTGGTAAGCACTAAAATTACAGTGACCTAAGCAGCTCAGGAGAAATTAAATGTGTTCAGCTCACCAAATCTCTGGTAAAGAAATTTGAATTTCTTATTTCATCTAAGGGAAGAAAATGGAAAGATATTTTACACTAATAGTCTCCAATATGTTTCTGTTTCTTCCAAGAGCTCTCGCTCAGGATTTGACTCCAGGGCAGACAGGCTGACACAGAAGTGCACACTTTCATCTGTCCCACCTTTTTAACTAGGATTAAAGTGATTCAGCTTCAACATATATGGTGACAAACCTCTAAGCAAGATTTAAACAGAACTAGGCAAGACAGCGTGGTCAATAAAGAACAGTGTAAATTTTGTTTTAAATCTTATTTCCTTTGAAATACAGATAAACAAGGAAGCTGAATACCACAGGGTCAATGTTTAAAATGTAAACTCTATTATTATTCTAAAATTGTATACAGGCTTTCTCTAAACTCACACAATGATGCTCAGTACACTTCTGAAGAGGAAATCAGGCCACAGAAAAGATCAATCATGATGACTCCATGAGGCAACTTTCTGTCACTGCAGTACAGCTGATATTCACTAACTCCTGGTTCCCTCGTGTCTGAATTAATGAACAATGGCAAGTATGAATCCCAAACTGAGAATTCAGCATGTTGCACACACCAGTGTATTGCAGCCCCTGCAATTACCTTTAACTATTAGCTCAGTTTCCTTTAAAATGGTCAGAGAGCACTCCAGAAAGTCGTCTGTGTAATAAAAAATAAAATTCCTGAAACTTTACATACTGAAAACCAAAGGTAAAACAGAAAATTTCAGTGAAGTCAGTGATGCTCTGACAAATTGATTTCCAGGGCACATATGCAGTTAAAGCCATTTTACTTTGCTCAAGATCACTCAGGATGCTACAGCAAAGCAGGAAACAGGAAGACTATCTTAGTATCAATCCAAAACTTCGGTCAGAAAAACATTACTCTGATTCCCTGGCATTATTGCGGGCATTTTGCATTGCTGAATTGGAAAAACAAAGTCTCACAAACAAATTGTATTAGCATACAATGTTTATTATCTTCTATTAATCTGAAGTCAATCATTTTGATATGACTAAATTAATTCTGAAATAAACAGACATTTTTAAATACATATGAAGATGATGGGCTCCAACATGACAGTACTTAGTTGGTCTGCACTCTTAATCCACATGCAGGATACATAGATCAAATTATTATACATATCCTTTCACTTTACACTGAACTATAATACAGCACAATTTCTGGAGGTGAAAGCAGGGAGGAAAGAAATCATATTTTCAAGTAGCCCTTTTATTTAAAAAGAGCATCAATGATATATTAAACCATTGTGTTTCTGATTTTGATTTTACTTACAGTATACACTTTTGTAAAACATATAGCTCATCAATGATACACAGTGGCCCTTCACTAAGGGCAAGTAATCAAAAAAAAAAAAAGAAAAAAAAAAGAAAAACAACAGAAAATAATTCTACAGATTAGAAAAGTCATATTTTAGACCAATTTCACTTCAGAGTGTCTCCAATGTTGCTAGGAAAGGTCATGCACAACATTTCTAATGTTGTCATTAGTCCATGAGAGAAATGTCTGCATGCTTCACACGTCAGAAAGAAAGCAGCTTTCTCCAGTTATCTCTTAGGCCTGTCTGTTTCATCAATGGTAGCTAACAGCTTCTGTCTTGCCTTTTTGTTGATGTAGGTGCCCAGACAAATATTCACCAGATTGGTCAGCTGCTTAGTGGAATATTCCTGGCAAACAAAAACAGATCAGTTAGGGCAGAATAAAATATCAGACAAAGACAGAAAAATTTAAAATACACAGACATACTCAGTGTGGATTTCACAACTGATAGAAGCATCAGTACACAGGGAAGATTTAAAGCTGTAGTGCAGTCATGTCTGGATAGTTTTCATAGTTGAGGCAGAGGACAAAACTGTATTTTGTACAAGGTGGCTTATAATGGAAAATGCTTATGACTTTAAAAGTACTGGAAAGAGTTCATATAAAGTAAGTCTGTGAACATGCACATAAATCAATTTTTAATGTGTTTTCCATTCTTTGGGAGGCTTGGTGGGAAAACATATGCAAATGATTAAGCTTTCAACACAAAATCTTTTTTTTTTTTTTTTACAAACTGTGATAAATGTTGGTGATCTTTTTTATTTTGACTTCCCATTTCCAATAAGCTTCTAAATGCTTCTGTCTGCAGTCTCCAAACAATTTTGATTTCAGTGTATGATAAAGGAGGAAAAAGTGTCAAAAATGTGAAGAAAACAATTCTTAACACCTGAGAAAATATCGTATTTGCCAGTAATACCTTTATGTCTTAACACTATCCAAAACATAGCTTCCACCAATGTGTTTTAAAAAAGAGTTTTTCCCTGTAGGTCATCAAACCCCATAACTCACAATCTCTCTTGGGTCTCCAGGCAATACAAGGAAAATTCACTCAAAGACTTATTTCTTTCCTCCATTTCTAGTGGGATTTAATCCCAAAATACAGATTTCAAGTGCTTCACTTTAAAAGACTTTTTACTTCAAAGATGGGTATCCCCAATAGCATGTGACATTACTTACAAAGATCTGTTAAAATTGTTAGTCCATGCTAGAGTGAAAGCATCTGAATGTTTTCAAAACACAAATATTGACTTATCTCAGCAAGAAATTCTGATTAAGCATTATATCATATCATTCATATCATAAAGTTGAACATATCCATGCACACATACACTTATATTTATACTGCTTCCATTATAATAAACATTATTATAATAATATTTATTATAATGAAACTTTCTGTAAGTTTCATTATAATAAATGAAAATGTACATATTTTCATATATGCCTATATTCATTTTTAACACATAAAAGGATTGATTATTTATAGTTGTTAGCATGTTTTTATCATCAGGGTGAATTTTCTCAATAGAGAGGAAAAGAATGCAAATTTAAGTCTTACCCTATGTTCTTTTATCCAGGATTCCATGTCATTTTCTGTCAGGTAGTATGCTTTAATGTAGGTTTCCACAAATTCTTTATCTGGAATGGGCCTAATGTCTGTTAACTTTTCTAGTTTCATTAAGAATTGTTGAAAATCCAGTTGCATCAAGGCACGTCCTTCATTACTGCACTTCTTTACATTGGCGTAACTAAAAAGAGAAACAGTGAAAAGCAGAATTCAGAAGGAAATAAAAATTAATTTTGCTCCTCAAAATTAATTAGTAATTAATTAACTTAGTATTTTCAACCTTGAGGAGGAGCAAAACTATGGTTTTAAGTCAAAAGCAGACAAGAACTTCTCTTAGGATGTCTGCTGCAGAGATTTATTTGCGTTAGTACAACACATTTTAGCCCAGTTATTGAACAGAACCCCATTGTACCCAGTGATACTTAGAAAAATCACACCCTCCTCTCCCAAAAGCCACAAAAAATCCCACATTGAACAATTTACTATAAGTTAGAGCAAATTAAACCAATGCTAATTAGCACACTGGACACTGGTTTCAAGTGATCACAACCACTGGAGTCTGAAAGGTACCAGAGCAGCTTTAGGAATGGTCACCAGGAGCTTCCTGAACCAAGTGGGAGCAGCAAAGACACAAAGCTACTTGTTCAAAAAAAGCCACAGCAACCAGAGGATGAAGGGTGGCAGCACTGGCTCATCTCTGCGAGAAGTAGAGGATTTAATGAGAACAGGTTGACAGGAAATTAGTGACAGGTTAGAGGAGACAGTAGATGAGTTTAAGGGCAGGGTAACACTAGCAATGATCACAGTGGAGTGACAGGCAACAAACAAGGAAAACAATTTTTGCAGTTCTTCAAATAGATAAGGAACTGCATTTGTCAAGATCAAAGGAACTGACACTGCAATGCCCTTAAGAACACCAATGTCAACTGTGTACAGGGGCACAGTAACCTGAGAGACTTAAACCAGCTCATCCACCAGCTGCTCCCACAAGTGAGAACCGTGTCTCACTCTTCCCATGTACCAAATCCAAAATAAGCTCAGTTTTTCACTGTTTCACAAAGTTGATCCTAATTATTATACACTCCCTAGATGATTAGGTTTGATGCAAAAGAGGCAGCAGAAACATGTAGCTGGAAGCTGGACGCACAGCAAGGTCAGGTTAAGAATATGAAGAAATGTCACACTTAGAGCTGGTACACAGAAAGAACTTGCAGAATACAAAAGTAACAGAGGCAAAAAGAAAGAGGGCCAAGGCAAAAGTCCTCTGGAGCTTCATAGAAGACTAGCAGATGATTTTCAGTTGACTTAAGAAGCCAGCAGGGAAACAGGAGAGAACACAGAACTAGGAGATAGGAAAGGACTAAATTTAAAGAAAGACATAGCTGACTGCAGTGGAGGTAATTCTTCATTCAGTGAAGAGCCTGATGAAAATAATTTCAGTTAACTGGATGAGTCTTAAAAAGCCTTCATGGCTTTTAACTCCATACATTCATTGAATGCAGAGATAAAAGAAGTTACACATTCAGAGAGTCAGCTATTCAGAACACCTTCCTTCCCTTTTCACAGTGGGAAAAGAACCTACAAGATACATAAAAATAACAGAACTGGCCAAGAATAAGAAATTACAGGCACATATTTGGGAGAAGATGATAATGAGTACTTTTTACACTCTCAGAAATGGTACAGTACAAATTATATCAGGAAAGTATTCCTAGTCCAACCTGCTTAGGCAAAAGTAAAAGTCAAAGTTTCATGGAAAGTCACAAATATTAACCTAAACTGTGGCATGGAACAAGACATATGAGTGATGATCTTCACAGATAAGGATTAAATGGTTCATCAACACTGAAGCCACAAAAGATGAATGAGATGTGATGTAAGAAAAGGAAACAGGTTGAAAACAAACACAAAGGCTGAGGTAGAGGAGGTTAATAGTGATTGACAGTGTTATCGACTTGAAAGGCAAGGGGAACTGAGAGGAGAAGAGACAGGCCTTTGATACACTTTCTTTTATTTGAAAGTAGAAAATAAAATTTTAAAAAGAAGAGCTAGTTGTATAGGCCACATATTATATGAATAGGAATTGAGAAGTCAGAGACAGGTCATGCATAGATTTAGTTACCCTGAACATGAAATTGTGAGACTGCTAGAGACTGCAAAAGGATGATGGCATGAAAAAAATGAGCAGGAGATTAAAAAACGATGGCTTTATGGAAGCAGTAGAAGCTGATGATTCTCAACAGGTAGCTAACACTTGGAGAAGAAGGGTGTTTTGTTGAGGTCCTAATTTAGAGCAGACAGCAGGAGAGTGGGATGGAAAGAAGTAAAATAGGTAGTAGGGAGTGAATAGGCTAAAGATAACCAGGAAAGAAGTATGGAAACATGTAGAGGGAGTGGAAGACAGCACATATTCTATGATGCAGAACTAATTCTGGTAAGAGCCCAATCATATGTAGCACAATCATATGGGACAAAACCATCAAAATAAATTCAGAGAATGAAAAGTCTACAGTACTCAGGCTACAAAACTGAATCCAAAAAGAATGGGACACTGATCACAAGAGCAAGGGATGAGCAAGGCGTAGGTTCCTGACTAAGGTGCTTGTGCAAGCCAACTAAGACATCTCTCTGTTCTTGATGAATTTGGAAAAATCATGTTCCACAGCTCCTTTAAGAAAACTTATAGGGCTGATAACTCCATCTTCCTTCCTGTCAAGGATAAATGGCATCACCATGGAAGTAATGACTATTATATTGCAACTTCCTTCTTTGGTCTGCTGGGAAATAATAGTTTTCATATAGAAGTTTCTTTGAAGGAGTGCTGTATTTTCAAATGCATCAGTAAAACACTCAATGTCATTCTTCAGCAGTATTTAGGATCAAGACCACCTTCTTTAGGCTTAATGCTGCACCAGATTGTGAAATATCTGCTAAGGAGTATGTTAAGCACCAATAGTTTTTAGGGTCCCCAAAAGCACATGAACTCACAAGGACACTACAAAATTAGAACTTTTAACTCTATAAAATAAACATTATCATTATAGACATACTTACCCCAAAGCAAGACCTTCATAAATACTTACCCTTCCACAAGAGTTCTATTGGCCAAGCGTATGCAGTGCTCCCAAAGGATGTTGGAGACTGGCAATGGAATACGGACTCTCTTAGACACATCATTCAACCTCCTGTTAAATTCTTCAAATTCCTAATAGAACATAAAAGATGTTTATTCCTTAGGGTAAAAGCAGATCATACTCTGTACATCCAACAACAGCAACAACTAATTAGAAATGCACATGAAAGAGAATACTGAAAAGGAAGAGCAAAGAAGAGAGGCTTAAGAAGCACAGACTGTAGACAGCTCAAAGTGTAAAGCAGAAAACATTTCACTTTCTAGTATATCACTCACAACATTACCTCAGTGATTTTTTTTAAAGGAACTGTTGCTCTGTTCCCCAGAACAACAGTTCTCTGTGAAACTGACACTTCTGAAAATGAACCAAGCAGTTTATCCTTCAAATGCCATTTTCATTGCCTTACTCCCTAAATTCATATTTAACTTCTTTAAGTCAAAATTCAGCCATTGAAGGAAATTCAGTGATGATCTCTTTATCCCCCTAAATACCCACCCCACCGGCTTTCAAAGAGAAGCTCAGAAACATTGTAACCCCTTTTCATTCTTCAACCTCTCACATTAGGTAATTCCTCAGTGCTTCAGAAGGAGCTGAGAAGCCACTGAAAGAGGCCAAATCCAACAGTTTAGGACCACACAGCAGCACTAGGTAACAGTTCAGGTTAAAAGAAGGCACCTGTTTCCACACAAATAATTAATGGCCTGGATGGATTTCAGATTATATTTTGAGTGAGAAACTAGTCATAGCTGGATGCAATTACTGCTACAAAGATTTTTGTGACTTAAAGTGAAACAGAAGTCCTCTGCCAATGATTAAAGCCTTTATAATATAAAAAAGTATCAAATTACTTCAATGTCAAGCAGAATGGTAATGAGCTCCTCTGTATAACCAGCAAAAGTAATTTGCAGCGCAGTCTTTTAAGATTATACTTGCCCAACAGAGATTTTATTTCCAAGGCTGTTAATCTAGGGTTTTTTCCTTTTCTTCTTACAGACTCTCAAAAATTCAGTAAGTGAAGAAAGTCAGAAGAGAACTACAGTTACCAACTGGCATTTAACACAAATTTTCTGAAAGATTAATTTGGCAACAAAATGCAGGCAACACAATGTCATGCTTTAACTGGTATACAATTCATTCTTCTGAAGATGAAGATGTCTAATGCTCCATAACCTATTTCTTCAACCATCTCCTTCCCCCATTTTATCTGCTTCCAACACACTATGACTGAATGTAGAACTTTGTGTATGTGTGCACACGACTGAAAGTAGTTGACTATTCCTTCAATCTCTGCTCACATCTGATGTTCCTGGAGTCCCAGTGTACCCTGAAAATCCCTCATTACTTAGCAGTTATTTAAAAGCTTTTGTAGCAACTAGTACTAGCTATAGAATAGAGAAACCAAAACTGGTTTTAAATGGTATTAGCTCTGAATGTCCTGAAGCAAGTTCATCAGCAGTTGCAAACTCACAGAAGAAAAAAAGCTTTACCCTGAGATCAAGTATTTTAAGCACAAACTGGTAACAGCAGCATAAAATAGGATAATCACAAAGATTCCATCAATTTCAGTGCAATGATACATCCTCTGTCAAATTCTTCCTTCTTTGGCTTGATTTTTCTTTATAGCAGAGAAGAGCTACAAAGTATGAAGGTGTTATCCAAACTGTTTTTACACACAGATGTGTAGCTTTTTCTGTGATTCACACTTCACACATCTTTAAAATAAAATTTTCAGTTTCTCTGAAAAGAACTAGTAATTAATATAGTATAATTAATTAGCATAATCCTTCCACTGCCAGAACTTCTCTCTGAAGACCTTTAGAAACATTTATTAGGCATATACAAAAAGATGAGAAAGGGATTGTCCCAAAAACTGGTTCTGTATGCCCTAACACATGGCAATTGTATGACATCTACTGAATGCAATCGACAAGTTGGGTGAATAACTTCTCTTTAGCTTCCTTTTCAAATATTAACTTCTAAATATAGCAACTTCAATTAGATACTGCATGATCAATATTGGTGCTGATTTGACCTACAGCTCCCATGATACATCTCAAAGACAATCAGCAAAATTATTCAGAACAGCAAATAGTGTGTTTTGGGTTTTTTTTTAAATGCTATCTCTGGCCACTGAATTTCCCTCAGTGTTACTCTGTTTACTACACACTTCTCTACCATTCAAAACTTTGATGTGAGACTCATTAAACTTCTTTGGTCACTTTCAGACACCATGTAGTCAAAAAATCATCACTGAGAACAATGCTTTAGAAGCAAGAATAATGACACTTCTGGACAGATCTCATAGTAATTTTCCATTTGTAAGGATGATATATTGTCCTAGCCATGCCACTTTAACAGTTATAGTGAAGCATTACAGCAATTCAGTGTTTATATAAACTCTAGCACACCACTTCCCATAAACTATTCACCTTCAAAAGGGCATCTACATATACATTGTGCTGTGACATGATTTCCTTCACATCCCATTTCACATTAGCCATGAGAAGAAGCATTTGTTCATAATCAATGGCTTTAGCAGCAACAATCCAATAAACCGGTTTACGTAGTTCACTGGCAGTTGACACTGTCTGAAACAGAAAATAAATAAAATTCACTTCAGTAGGAGCAACATATAACTATGATACAGAAGTATTTTCACCATAATGTGTAAGTTTCAAATCTTCTGTATGAAAATCAGCTGTGAATTACACCATTCTGACCTGAGAATAGAACTGCTGAAGAAAAGGCTTCTTGGCAGCTGGCATCACTGCATCAAGATGAGGCTGAAGAAATTCAAACTGCTCAGCCAGAAATACCCTTTGAAAGCAAAGAAAATTTACTGTGAACTAAGTGCAACGTTTGGCATGTCTTTTAACAATTTTTACTCTACAGCTGACGTATCTGGCAATAACAATATGCAACCTTGGAAAGTTTAGTCCCGAAAAGAACCGTATCAATTGCGTGCTAGTATATCAACTAGCAGTCTCAATTCTGGCAATTTTAAAATGTATTTGCAAACAAGAAAATATTTTAATAAAGAGACTAAGGCTTGAACATCAAAAATCCGTATTTCTGTTTTTCTGAGGATACACTGCAAAAGTCCGTGCCAAGGTCTAGTAAAGTCAGTGACCAAGAGTCACACAATTTCCACCACAGGACAGTCAACATCAATATTAATAAATCCATCTTAGAATTTCAAAAGAACATTTCCAATAAATTTTGTGCTAGTGGATCTATGAAACAGAACTTGATCTCATATTCCTGGGAAATATATTTCTAACTAAGCATAAATAAAAAAAAATTAACTCTTAATCTTTAAGTGTCATCTCATGTGAAGAAAAAATCATTCCTAGCTGACTCTTACTATTATTCTTATCAAATAAAAATCACTTTGTTACATTTGCATTAATTCTTTACAATGTCTTCTTCTCCTGAGGTGTGACATAGGTACACTTCCACCCATTGCAAAGAACACGGTGATTCAAGCCAAACTGATACAAACTAAGCAGTTCTGAGTCAAGTATTTAATATAAGGTGAAAAAGAATCATACAGATTAAATATTCCCACTAGCCTCTTTGAAATTAAACTTTTTTCATTATACATTTGGCCATGTATTGTCAGAAATTACTGGCTCATCTGCAGTAAAATTTCATTTCTTGTGTTTGCATGTTGCTAGACCTAAGAATTAGACTCCAGTACCTTCAATTACAAAAATCACCTTTATCACTCATACTTAAAATCACATTGAGAGGTAGGAATTCTTGACCTGTCAAGAAGGTTTTGAAATGTAACCACAATTTTTTAAACTATCAATAGCTTTCAGTGATCACAAATACAGTGTGTACAGTAAACAACCTACAAGGATTCTGTGGCCACCACTCTCTCTGCCAAGCCATACAGTGAATTGCCAGATGTCAAAACTACAAGATGACTGAGATGTGGGCTTGGCACCTTCTCTTTTCTCTCTTCAGCACCTGTGAGAGTCCCTGAAGGATCAGCAGACACCTCCTGAAACAAAGAATTAAACAAATTACACTCCACAAAACCAGCAAGGATGGCTGGCTCCAGCTGAACAGTTTCAGATGCCAGATAAAATGAAGGAATGTTTCCAATTTTAGGATGTAATTTAAATCAAGCCTATTTTTATTTAAACAGTATAGTGAAAGGGTGAAAAAAATCAGATCATGTAAATCAGTAGCCAAGGAAAAAATAAGTTAAAAGAAAAAGGCAGCAAAAAATCTTCTCACTATGCCTTAATCCTCGAACAGGCTTTAGCCCAAATCCCTTTTGGGAGACTGACTTCTCATCCTTGGAGAAAGTATCTTCAATCTGACAGCAACCAAATTAAGAGGCATATCAAAGAAATGTTACTTCTGCATGGGCTTCACTCTTATAGGAGCAGTGGCTAACTTAGGTAAAAAACAGCCAATCTTCTCAATCACATAATCACTAGGTTGGAAGAGACCTTTAAGATCATCAAGACCAACCCATGCCCTAACACCTCAACTAATCCATTCCATGACAACTTCTATCCTGAAAAATTCCTGATGATAGAAAGCAAGGAAATATTGGATTGAGTAGAATTGAGTAGAATCTGTAGTGAGAAACAGGTTATACCAGTGCCTTGTTCCAAAATTAAAGGAAGAAAATAGAGAAAAAATTCTATCCCCACATTTAAGGAATCTAACCATAGGGTACAGCTAGAAGAGGAATCATAGAAGGAAGAAATTCCCAGAGAAGGTGTACAAAGGGACACCCTCTGAAGCCTGGCTATTTCCCAGTCTTCAGAGGGTTTCAGGGCATGAAATCATAAAGGTAGTTCTGGCTGGCTTGAATTTATTATTCATACTATGCTTATACACAGGCCACAGGAAGATGAGAAATTTACAAAGGAAAGGCACAGCACCCAGAACAGGTAAGAAGACAGGCAGGATATGGCACTGATTTTAATAAGAGCCTTTCAAGACCCTGGGGACAGAAACCCTGGCCAGAGTCTACAGTCTATGGATGCTACAACATACCAGCTTGTTAATATGGAATGAAAACAAATAACAGTAACAGTGACAAAGTAGTGGAAAAAATAACTTTCACAAAAGTAAAATCAGTGGCTCAACATGGCTGCTGTAAACAGCATAGGAACAACCAATCAATATGACAATAATAATGCTTAAACATAACATTTATGTTTGGACTCAAAAATACAAATTAATGTAATTCTGAAAATGCAGTTAAACAAGGAAAAATGATAATAACAAAAACAATGTAATGAAAAAAAACAGCTTTCAGGTTTGTGAATTGTTTGTTTCAACTAGAGATAGAAATAAAACCAGAAGAAATTGCATTGAAGTAACTACAGAAAGAGGGAGAAAGACTCAAGCTAACTGCAACAGTAGCCATGAATTTCTTCTGGGGTCCACAGCAGAGAACAACAGTGAGAAGCGACCTGAAATAGAATACTTGCTATTCAAGCAGATTTTGTTTGGACACTTTTGCTTAAGGAGGAGAGCAGTGAGCACCTGAAACAGTGATGGAAATTATTGGTGTCACTCACTCTAGATGTCAGGATTCAGACAAAAAGGAATATTTCATTGCAGACCTTGAAACACCAAGAGAAGAAGTATTGCACATACAATCAGTTGAAAACTGGAAAATCAACAGGGCAGTTATTCAGATAGCAAATATCTGACAGACCCATTGGGGTAGTGTTGCAGCAACTAAAGGTAGGGCAGGTGAAAATTGATTATGTCAAAATGTGTAAGGACCTGGTGAGAATTTAAGTGATACAGGATGAGCAGAAAGATCAAAACTTTGCTGCTATAGACAAAGCAGCACCAGAATGTGTTTACTGCCTGGATGAATGCCAAACCAAAAGTGACATTAAGAATATAAGACAACTGAGAAGATAATAGCGGCCAAGCTGTTAAAAGTGGTTTGAGGTGTGGAGGAACAAAAATTCACAAGTTCCACTTTAACTCTCTCAGATTTTATTTGGCAGTTTCCTCCTGTGGTGTCACAGCCCAAGGCAATAGGAGGTGGATTTGCTATATCAGAAAGGCTCTTTCAGTTCTGCATCTCCAGAGACATCAAACACAAACATAAAAATGGGCTACAGCAGATGGAACAATGCACAGTCTGGGAAAGCAGAGCTCTCACTACCAAGGGTGAGGAAGTACCTTCAGACTTATTAAAAAAATATTCTACTTAGATTACAGATATAAAAAGCCAACAAAGCAGGGAACCTTGGTTCCCCACACAAATTCTGACACTAAAAACAAGGACTGCTGACTGAGAAATTCCATCAACACATCATTTGTAGCACTAAAAGAACTCACAGAAATACATCAGTAAGCAGAAGATAAAACTTCTAAAAGAAGCTCATGGCAAATGTGATCAGATACAGTTGCAATGAGCCTAAGAACAATTATAAAGGCTGGCTACAATGTTATATTATTTGAAAAATTTATTTTCTTTGCTCTGATCTGTGTTCACACTCAGCCAGATAAATCTGGAATTAAAATTACTAGATGCTTCACAATACCATGAAGTTTGCATTCTGCTGAGTTTAACAGAATGGAGAAGCAAGCCAAAGGGCCTGGATATTTGCTGAAGATCCTGTGACCTCTTTCAGAGAGTTCTAAGATACTTCCTGAGCACATCCACATGTTTGCTGCAGACAGGCAATGACATCTAACCATCTAGCCACAACAATCAATTCTTTAAAAACATTAACTAAGGCAAAGACAATATTGATTAATTATTAAAATTCCCTCTTTATCTGTCCACTCTTTTACTTTTTTCACTTCATTCTATTCTCAAAAACCCAGATTAAAAAAAAAAAAAAAAAACAAAAAAAACAAACCCACCCAAAGCAACGGAAAAAAAAACCACAAAAAACCCAACAAACAAAAAATTTTTGAAATAAATCAATTTTGAAGTGTTTACACATGACAAAAACAGCCAAACCCACAGCTCACCAAGCAATGCTATATACTTAGGAGAGACAATGAGTGACAGAGCTGGGGGAAGAGTATCAGTAGTAAACATTTAAGAAGCTTTCTTTCTTTCAAATACTAATTACAAATTATGTAAAAGCCTAATATTATGAAGACTTCATTTTGTATTTATCTCACTTCAAAGTTGCTTGGCACTTCAAACACATTTTAAACTTTTTTTTGTTCCTTTTTGCTTCCCATGAAGGTAAGTAACAACCCTTAAATGCCAAAAATGTGTTGCATCCGAAGAACCCAAAAGGTAAATGAGAACTGGCCAAGTCAGAGATAATGCTCCTTTCAACTAGGGAGTCAAACTCTGGTTCAAATATCGTGGCCAAACAGCATGAGCATTTCATTCTCCTAATTTGTTCTGAAAGGCAGGCACTGCAAAAGCATGTTGAAAGCAAAAAGCAAACAGCCAGTGTGCCAATACCCCAAAGAAGCACAGGATCACTCTGAAAGGGTCTCAGTGATGCATGTGTTTTTTCTTCCTGCCTTCATTAACAGAAATGATCAAATGACTGAAAGAGGAAAATAAAGGGGCAAAACACACAGGCTGGAACAGGAAAAAAGGCTACAGACTATTTGAAGAAATCAGATGTTTTTCAGTGTACTGGACTTGTTAAAGTTAACCCTTCCAGTAATGAAGAAATTCTGCAAGAAAATGTCTGTTGCCAGTGATTCCCTCTGTGTACCACAGCAAACAAGCAGGGTCCTGTAAAACTGCCAGCCTCAAGAGGAAGAGGAAGGCAGTAGAAGCCAGAAAATTAAATAGCAGCCAGTTGAACTTTAATTTCAAGAAATGTCAAGTTACACTGAGAACATATTGTAGCACCCAGGATTAAGCATGCAGCGAGCAATACTAAAGCAGAATAAACTTGCTTAGCTCCTCCCTGCATCAGAGTAGCAGGTCCTGCTGATCCAGCAGAACTGGGAAATGTCAAAGACGTATCACAGCCCACACAATATCCATGTAAGAAAACTGCACAAAATAGATTTGATAAAATAACTTCAAGGTATACATGGAACTGATGCAAACTACAAGATGCTCTTCTCCTTCCTTGCCAAAAAAGAAAAAACTCAAAGTGTTAAAAAAAATTTTAAAAATATTAAAAGCACCACACTGATCTGAACAATAACCAAATGAACTGCAGTAGGCAGAGCAGGACAGGTTAACCAGTACTGCCTGCAGACACCTTACAGCAGGTATTACCTATTAAATTTTCTCTAGTCTTAGTTTAATTTCTTCATACTGTCACAGGAAAAGAACTGCGTGTTCTAATGCTATACATGATAGGCATGCCCAAATGGCAATTATTTTTACAAGCTGCTTTGCTATGAAGACCTGAAAATATCAGGATGAAGTGTTAAAGCAGGCTTATGGCTGTTTCACCTATTTAAGGGTTGCTAATAACAGTAGTATGAGCTACAGTGTATGCTTTGGGAAGTATCTTTGCAAGACACCTACAGTTGAATTAAAACTCATCTGGAACATGTTTTTACAACCAAAAGGTATATATTAGCAAATAATAGGTATTAGATAAATGGGAGTGTGACATTGTTTAATTTTTGGGTACTTCACTTCATCATTTAATTGTTTACACCCAAGAAGAAAATTTTTAATGAACAGGTAGAAAAATAAAATCTATCTGTGTAAGGAACAAGCCCCTCCTTCAATCTCTTTTAAAAATGGCATCTGTAACAAGAGAACGTTTTCATTTCAAGTTTGGCTGAACCCAGTGGCAAGACTTTGTTAAGCCTTCCATCTCAATGGGAAGAGGAGACTATAAACTAATTAGCTAAATGGAAGTATAAACTATATAAGATAATTATCTAAGTTTAAAAACTGACATTTAATTTGCAAGAGAGACATTTTTACAGGGCTGATTTCATGGGAGCAAAAACACTTTTATTTCAGTTATCCAAAAGAACTTTTGACTGAAGCAACTGATTATCTGCCAATTATGGTGAAATAGTTGACAGTTAATTACAACCACCCACCTCCACTAACTTTAA